AACATTATTGTTTACATATTACTGATTCTCCATGAAAAATATCCCTTCACTTTGTACCCTAGAGGACTCATTATCTCTCAAGGGACAGATGGAGATTTATATATAAAAATTGATAATGGCCCTCTTTGCAAAATTAAAGATGTTGGCCAACTCCTTCTTTGGCAGCTGTTCAATTTGCATAATTACATTTGCCTTTCTAAATTTCCCCTGAAGCTTCAGTTGAATAAGGTGTTCTTTTGCATTTGCATTTTGAAAAGGCTTAATTGTGCTGCACTGAACAGCTGTCCCCCACCCCCACCCCCCGCTACCCAGAGGAATCTCAGAGCTGGGCGGTATTGGTGACTTACCCCGTGTGTTGGCAAATCACTTTGAGACTTTTCCAATCAAAGGGAAGCTATTAGTATTCGTGCATTTATATGATGAGCAAAATGTTTAGAACTGGTATCATGTCAGTTTGCTGCAGAGAACATTCCTAAGGTAACTTTCCTACAACTCAGCTCAATCAAAGTTAACAGCACATTCAGCAGGGCTTGCTTACTAAGGATTGTGCTTAGAATGGCACTACATATAACAGACAAGAGAAGTATGGGTGGATTTTATTCCTTTTATATACATCAAAGACTCCAATCTGATGTCATCTAATCTGTAATGTACGTAAAATAGAAATCTGAACTGGGGAAGAGCCTCCCATTCTCCAAGACTAGCTATATCCACTGGTGCTTGTGGATAAAACGGCAATATTTCCAGAATCTCTCACCTGGTCTTAGTGCATCTCTCTATCAATAGGCATATACAAGGGATGGAGAGAAGTAGTCCATCTCCATATCAATAGGTGATTACAAGGATGGAAGGAGCCAGGGCATATCTGGACTGGAGAGGTTGGGTGGGATCCTTTTTGCAGCCAGGTCATGAGAGACACAGGCAAGCAGAAGTGGACAACTGCTTGTAGGCAATAAGCAGGTTTCTCCCACTTTATTTCTCCCTTTGACTGATTTCAGTTTCAAAGGCTATTTGCCCGGGACTGGGAAAATATTTTCCCCCTGGAGTTACAGCTGACATAGTCCCTAGGATCTCTGAACCCAAAATCTGCCTTCATGGGTGTGACGCTTGGGCAGGATACCCACAGAGATGGTGGGGAGATACCTGGAAACCTCCCCTGTGGATGGTGGAGAGGCCCTGGGGTTGCTGCAGTGAGGGGTGACAACTTACTCTTCCCCCCGGCAGTGGTGGAGGGTGCAGCTTCACCTGGGAGCATCGTATCCATGGGGCTTCTATGTGGGGAGTCCTTGATGGGGAACTGGTCTAGGGTAAAGCACCTCCTAGACTGGTGGGACCTTCCCCAGAATTGGGGAAGGGTGGAGACACCCAAAGCTGCGAAATTCGCCCTCTGTGAGATAGAAGACTGCATAGAGGCCCTGAGTGGCAAAGCAGCAGCCGGGATTGTAGAATGTTTGTTTCTCTGGATAGTGGAAAGGATTATCAAGGAGAGAGACACACTTCGGCACTGCTTGGAGGAGCTGGGCAATGACCTCTGGGACGCACTTAAGAGAGAGACAGTTATTGAGAAGACAGATCATGCTGCTTGAAGATAGATTAGCAGCAAGGTATGAGACAGCAGGAGAATCTGCATTGCAGGAGGCCTTGGGGGAGGGGGAGAAAGGAGCAGTGCCTTCAGTCCCACAGATGGTAAAGGAGATGTCAGGAGGGTAAGGGCCGAGGGCTGATCTGTTGCCAAAGCCACCACCCAAGGTGCCAGCCCCTCCTATATTAGAAAATAAAAATGCTACAGCCATAGGCTCCTTATGGGGAGGAGCCACCCCCTCCCCAGGTTGTGGAGCACTACATGCTCCACCCCTATATCCAGGATGAGCTGGTGGACACGAGCATCCGGTTTTGGCAGAAGCAGTCAGAGTCTCTGCCTACATGTCTTATGCATCTCTGGATATAGGGTGGAAAACATTGTTATGTCACACTCTGAAATGGGTAGACTGGCTTCCCTGATGACTCACCTTCCCTCTGGCAGAGGTTGCAAAGTGCCCATCACACCTCAGGGAATCAGGCACTTCTGGATTGGCTGACAGCAGCCAACAGGGCAGTTTTGTCTAATTAGAGTGATTTACCATACTTACCCACTAGCTGGAAAAGATGCAGAGCTCCAGCAGGTATTAAAGGAGTTGGGTATAAAAAATATCATCTATAATATGGACCCCCAGGGCCCCAGTGAGAAGTTGTTCACTGTAGGAATGAGAAATCTGGTGCTGCATACAGCTTCTCCATCTCTTCTTGGGTCCCTAGTGACTATTCTTGCCCCCAACATAGGGCAACCCATAAATGAGGCTACTCGTACTTTAGCAGATCTGAGGGCAGTGGAAACAACAAGAGCACAGAGGGAAATACGGGGTATGACTGAAAGGAGAGGTGTAAAGGGCCCCATGAAGGTCTTGAGGACCCAGATGTGGGTTGATTTGATAAGGGCTGGGGTAATGAAAGAAAAACTTGAGGGGCAGCCCAATAGGATCTTATGACAGTTGTGGCACCAATTAAAGCCAGAGCAGCAGTTACAGTCACTGAGGTCCAGGGCATGGAAGCTGGAGGCAAAGCCCCATGTCCAGCCTCTCCCTGCAAGATTTTCTGTGGAACAACACTCAGACTCTGCCTGGGCCTTCACCCCCACAGGAGGAACATTGGCATTGCAGTTTGACTGAGGGGGCCTTAAGGCCCCAACCTTGGGGGATATGGTGGGGACCAGAGGCCACATGTAGAATTAGCAATTCATTGGTCCCCTGTGAATGTACACCATGTCCTGGTGCTGGTGGACACAGGAGCTGAATGTTCTCTGATTTATGGCAACCCTGAGCATTTTCCTGGGAGGACCCCTGCTTTAATAGATGAATATGGGAATCAGACAGTTAGGGTGAAGAAAGCCCAAATCTCACTGGGGACAGGGTATTTACCCCCAAAGGAGTATACTGTGTACATTTCTCCCACACCTGAATATATTTTGGGGGTAGATATCCTACAGGGCCTGTGGTTACAGACCACTGCAGGTGAGTTCAGACTGAGGGCACCTGTGATCAAGGCAGTTCTGAGGGGACATGCTAAGCACTCACATGTACCTTTGCCTGTACCTCAGTGGGTGACAAATGCTAAGCAGTATGAATTGCCTGTGGGCCACAAGGAAATTGAAGAAACTCCACAGGAGTTGGAGAAGGTGGGCATCATAAAGCCCATTCATAGTCCTTTTAATTCCCCAGTGTGCCCAGTGAAAAGGCTGGATGGCTCTGGCATATGACTGTGGATTACAGGGAACTGAATAAAGTCACCCCCCTTTGCATGCTGCTGTCCCCTTCATAGCAGCCCTATGGATACCCTCAGTCATGAACTGGGGATATACCATTATGTTGTGAAACTTACTAATGTTTTCTTCTCTGTTGACATAGCACAGGAAAGTCAGGAACAGTTTCCTTCACATGAGAAGGCCAGAAGTGGGCATTCACTGTCCTTCCATAGGGATACCTCCACAGCCCCACCATCTGTCAGGGACTTGTAGCCGAGGACTTGGCCACATGGAAGAAACCACAAACAGTGCAGCTGTATCACTACATGGATGATATTATGCTTACATCTGATTCTCTTGCAGATTTAGAAGGGGCAGTTCCTAGACTGCTGCAACATCTACAGGAGAAAGGATGGGCTGTGAACAGCACCAAAGTTCAGGGACCTGGTTTGTCAGCAAAGTTCTTGGGGGTTGTCTGGTCAGGTAAAATTTAAGTTATCCCAGAAGCAGTAATAGACAAGGTCCAGGCTTTCCCCACTGTGGCAGTATTACAAGAGTTGAGCATCAGGTGGGACTGGGATGAGACATGTGCAACTGCTTTTACTAATGCTAAGTGAGCTGTCAAGGCCTTATAGGCCTTGAGTGTAATGGACTCATCAAGGCCCTGTGAGCTAGATGTTCATGTAACCAAGGATGGTTATTTGCAGCAGCTTGAATGGACATGCCAACCTATTGGGTTCTGGTCACGACTGTGGAAAAGGAGCAGAGGTCCAGCACACCTTGACAAAGAAGCAACTGGCTGCTGTGTTGCTTCTTGCCACACCTTGCTGGCTATGGAGCTCATCACTGGAACAGCTCTGATCAAGGTAATAACTACCTATCCCATGGCAGGGTGGGTGAAAGACGGGACCCAAGGGCCACAGAGTGGCATGACACAGAGGCCTGCACTAGCCAAATGGGGCACATATTTACAGCAGTGTGGCACCCTCTCTACTAGACCCTTAAGTGAAGAACTCCTACACTAACTGGGGCCAGTGACCTCTATCAGTGGAAAGCAGGAAGAATTTGCTTTTGAGCCACTGGCAGCCAAGAGCCCTTATCATGAGGAAAAGTCCCTATACCTGAAGATGCTTGGTATACAGACGACTCCAGTCATGGGCAGCCCCTGAAGTGGAGGGCTGTGGCTTTCCATCCTAAGATTGAGACAATATGGATGGAGGATGGAGAAGGGAAGAGCAGTCAATGGGCTGATTTGTAGGCAGTATGGCTTGTGATCACCCAGGAGCCCTCCCCTATAGTTGTCTGCACTGACAGCTGGGGCGTCTATTGGAACTTGACCCTGTGGCTACCAACATGGTACCATGCCAACTGGATGATTGGTCACCGGCCCCTTTGGGGGCAAGAGTTGGGGCAAGACCTATGGGCCTCTGGTCAGACTAAGACAGTTCCTGTATATCATGTGACTGGCCATTTGCCTTTGGCATCCCCAGGGAATGATGAAGCACACACACTGGCCCAGGCGCACTGGCTAGAAGGAAAGCCTGCCTCTGATATGGCCCAGTGGTTGCATCAGCGTTTGTTGCACGAGGGACAAAAGATAATGTGGTCTGTAGCCTGTCAGTGGGGCTTGCCTTTGACCTTTGAAGAAGTGAGCCGAGCCCAGAAAGAGTGCCTGTGTGCTCTAAGAGGGACTTACACGGAATCCCACAGCAGTTCATCTGTCTCAGGTGAGAGAACCCCTTCACGGGACTTCATGCTTTTCTGGGCACCCCACATCTGGTGATGAGTAACACAGGAGCATGAAGGCTCAGCCACTTCAATCCAAAGGCAGATGAGTCCATGACTCAGTCTGCTCTCCCCAGATTGGCCAAAGCTGCACTGGGACTGCATCTCAGTTCAGCTTCTTCCTCACATCTCTATCTTCCTTCTGCAGGTGTTAATTCAGAATGAACATCTTTCACCCCAGTGTCTATCACAATACCATGTGATCTACAGAACCCAACCTATAACAGAGGGGTTACCACTTAGAACCCACCAACCAGAGAAGGGTAAACCTGAAAAGTAACAGAGCAGGAAATGCTAGAAAATCAGAAGGAAAACCTGGATAGCATAGCATTCTGGGAACCAAAATAAACACACATTTCAAAAAACAAAGAACAGGCAAGAATGCTGGGAAATTAGAAAAAATTACTGGAAAAAGCCCATTGGATTTAGATCACAGAGGTCACGGTGACCTTGGCTTTGGCTGTTTGGGTCCAGGGCTGGAAACAAGTGTCCCAATGGGGAGATGAGGAGTCAGCTGCAGGTGAGAAAACGGATGCACCAAATCATGGAAGCTCTTTAGAAAAACTGAGAATTAAAGAGATTGAAAGGAGTTGGAAGGGGAAGGTGGGAGTCAAGAAAAGGTTGTTATTTTAAGATGGAAGACATATGAACAGGCTTAAATGTAACTGGGAATAATCCAATTGAAAAGCATATGCTGAATAAATAACAGAGTAGAAGTGGAGAGGAGGAATTGATAATATAGGATCCTGATAAGACATGAAGGAATGAAATCCAACACAGGTGGAGAGATTGGCCTTAACGGATCAGAAGACTGCATCCTAAAACAGGAGGAAAAGAGAACATGGGTACAGATGGAACCACATGAATTCAGTAGCAGGAAGCTGAGGGAGTTCCCATCTGATGCCTTCTATTTTCTTCAAGAAGTAGGAGGTGAATCATCTGCTCAGAATGCAAAGGAGGTAAGAATATTTGAGGTTTGAGTAGAGTGTAGTATGTTTAAAACAGTTACTGGAAATGCAGAGAATTTACCAGGGAAACAGAGAGGAACTGGCCAGCTTTAAGGGCCCAGTGTCCCCGTGCCAGCCTGCCCTGCCGGGCGCTTCAGTCACAGGCCATTCAGTTGTAGGCACAGGGAAGACACATAGATGCATTTGTCCAGAGTCAGACAGTTGTCAAGTAAATTTTTTTTTTAATGTTTAAGACACAAAGTGACAAGGCAGTTAGGAATACTGGTGGGAGTAATATTCAGATAATGACCTGTGGGATCTAAACTTAATCTAATGATGAAAGAATGAAAAATAAGATGAGAAAATGGGTGCTGATGGGCTGGGAGAAAGTAGAAGGGGTAGCACCCAGACCGATACTTCCCAGTTCTGAGGACCTTTTATGAATGCAGAATACTTTTCAAGGCTGGGTGGGGGACCTGAGATTCTGAGTTTCTAACAATGTCCCCGTTAATGATGATATTGCTGGTCTGAGAAGCTGACTTGGAGTAGCAAGTCATCGTTCAAGTAATATCGAAAATCCTTGTGCGGATGAACATGAAAGTGAGAAAGAAGACGGCGATTGAGAGAGAGCAAGATCACCAGGAGGCGAAGCAACAGGGAGAAAAGCAGTGGGCACGCAGTCCCAAGAGGAGAGAAGCAGCTGCAAAGGAAGCCGGGGCCCCGGGATTCGAGAAGAGCGACCAGGTCACTGAAGCTGCAGCAGCTGAACAGCGACCCATGGCGAGGGGGGTCCATGAAGACGCTCTGCATGGCTGCTGAGGAGGTTCCCTGTGGCTCTTCACCCCTCACGTCTACACCAACTATCCCCATACACACGGCATTACCTGAGTGACTCTGTCCTGGCCGCTGAGCGAGTCTGACGGACGGAGATGCCTCGCCCATCCTGGTCCGCTGCGCTGTGGTTCCGTGTGGGACGGACACCCATGCACCGTCACTAGGGAAGCAGAAAACGCAGGACTGGATTTCAAGAATAGCTCTATTACAGTTTCACTCTTAACATGAACTTACAGCACATCCCAAAGCCCCCAAACAGGGAGCAGACCAATCTGTAGGGTGATTTTTTTAAAAATTGGAGTGTTTTGGGCTGTAAACATATGTGAACAGTAAGGAAGGGAAAAGAAACTGTCAGAACTTCTAGAAAGAAAGATCCTACTACAACTTATGGAAGACCCTTAAATCTAGATGGCTGAAGCAGGATTCCCTAACCTTAGGCATGGTGACATACACCGGTCCACAAAATCCATTTTCTATCTCTTCCTGTGAACCAAACCTTCCCAAGAAATTGTAACTTGCCTCTGAGCTCCTGAATAAGCAGCTAAAGCTTTCCTCAAATGCTGAGCAGAATCAACCACCAGAGCTTGTATTCAAACAACAAAATAATAAAAATGATAAATGAAAATCACATCTGTAATACGAGGTGAATTGATCCTACTCAAGTTTAGGAGAAAAATCAAAGTCATATTAAACAAATACTAACAATACCTAATTTTATTGCTAGTGTCTTGCCAATGAGTTTCAGCCCCAGGCAAATTCGCTATGGATTCAGTGTGACTAAAGAAATTGACAGCAAAACATTTTTGGGGTGAAAGGGTTATACCCAACTTTATTTCCAGGTGGCAGGTCAGTCACTAAAATCCTGTTCACTCAGAGAGAGTCTGCATGCAGCAAGCCAGTCTCTGCCTCTGGGCCCCTCCGTCCACGCAGCCATCCCACACAGCCGTCCTCCGGGCCTCTCTGCACAGACATCACGCACAGCCATCCTCTGGGCCTCTGTTCTCAGCGCTGCCACCACTCCAGCCTCTGCTCCGCTCTTCTGCAGCCTTGTAGACCTGCCACTGTGTCGTGCCCAGAGCAGTGGGCGGAGCTCTTTATATAGAGTCAACAGCCATGTATTGCCCACAGGTGTGCAGTGAGCTAGTCAACCAGAGCCAGGTGAGAATCCTGGCCACAGGAACTCTCATTTTATCTACAGCTAGACTTTAGTTGTGTATAATCTTTTATTTTCTTCAACTTTAGCCCATACAATGACTCTTCCTTGGAAACATAGTGGCTAAATAAATGTGTTGAAGAAAGAGTTATAACTTTTATGAAAAGTTAACAATTGAAGAGATAAACAGGTTACAATCATAACTTCAAAACCATACCTCAAAAATTAACCTCTCTGAACTACAAACAGGCCTCCTTACTTAGGCACAGGTAAGTAATAAGTGTATCAAATTAACAAGTCATAGTGTCATAAAGTTTTCTGGCAGAGTATTCAGGAAGTAGCAAACAGCACTGCGTAAACTGCCCTTGCAAACCTGAAATCTATAATGAGATGAAAAATGGCACAAACATAAGAGGATTTATTTACTGTTCAACCATGACTTCATTGCATTAACCCAAATAAATGAGAAATATAGCCATTTCTAGCATCTGATCCACTAGCAGGGCAAACATGGGGAGCAATAGGTTTTTCTGCAAATCACATAAACTAGGCTAATGCCTATTCCAAGGTTACTCTCATACAGACCTATACACTTTTGGACAAAACTCACTATTTAGTATAAGCTAGAAATTTATACTTCAAGAAGTACAGTAATGCTTGAAATTGGCCATAGGTTATTTGGGGAGAATATCTGTGGTAGCTGGGCCAAAGGAGCTAAGTACCTAGAGTCTTGCATACATGAAAAATGCACTTCTCCTAAGCAGGCATTCAGTTCCAGAAAAAAAAGCTTTTAAGTATTGTTGAATAAGTTAGTTCTTTCCCGAATCACAGAGTTGTCACCTTATGGAAGGGTAGGCACATTGCATTTTCATTGTCACATTACCATGTAATGGTATCCCTGAATTCCAAGGCATTTCCTGATACAAAATTCTGTACAAAAAGAAAATTATTTAAGGTCAGAAATCTGGCCTAAAAGGGAAATTTTGGACTGGAGGAGCTGAAGGAAAAAACTTGCACTAGGAAGAAAAATCACAAGATTTTTCTTCTCTCTTCCCCATTTTCATTTCTTATATATTTTTCAAAAAAAGGACTATGTTTTTGGTGTTGGTGGCTTTTACTTTTTAACCTCTTCATAAATTACCTTTAGCTCATAATTTACCCATAATCACTAATTAAAATACCTGCAGGTTTAGGCAGATAAAGCAAAAAGAGTGAAGTCATTTCTGTTCAATTAAAGAGGATATGTAGTATTGAGATCTTGGCAACTTGTAGAACACTTGACCCACTGAAGGCTTTTGGTATTTACTCACCTCCACTCAGTCATTACGTGCAGGAATGAAGGCCAAGTGTTGCCAGATGTTACAAATTTTCAAGATAATAAACAAATCTGAATTTTTATGTGCTGTCTCTCAGATTTTAAATTTGGCAATAATTTGAACGTTGTTTGGAAATGGGTGGGTATTTCTAATCAAGATAGTTTAGCGAGTTCACATATTACCACACCCTCTCTGTTCCACCCCTCAGCCATGATTGGAAATGTATAAAAAGTTATAAGCACTATGACATTAGCTGAGTACAAAATCAAGGTGAATAGCTCCACGAACCAGAAACAGGACAGAAAGGCAGGGCCATGGGCCAGGCTCAGGCTGATGAGAGGCCAGACCTGGGCACCGTACCTGGAGCTGCAGCAGGGGTGGGATTACCATGGAGGAGGTTTGAAAAACAACTCACCTGCTGCTAGGCACTGTGGTTTACTAGGAAGTGCTGGACCTGAGAACGTAAAAGAAAAAAGAAACAGCCTTAAGATCAGGAACTGATCCAAAGATCCCCTAGTTCCTAAATATATCTGCACACCCTTGTATTCCCATGGGTCAGAAGCCCCAAAATAAAACAACCCTAGGGATTTATAGATGTTGTCTATCAAACAGTATAATGATACCTTAATCACACACACTTTTTCATTAACCTACTCAATTATTTACTCAACAACTATTTATTGAACAGCATAACATGCCAGGCAATATTCTAGATGCTAGAGAAAAATGAGTGAACAAAAGAAGTCCCTATATATTAAGGATACATTCTAGCTGCAGGGGAGGGGACAGTGTGGAAAACAGATCACAAATAAATAAAAGAATATATAATGACTCCCAAATTTTTATCCATGGCCAGGACCTCCTCCTGGGGATTTCTACTTGAAATTTCCTCTTGGATATCCTCTATAGACCTCAAACTTTACATGTCCCAAACCTCCAACTCTGATTCTCACCCGCCTTCCAACCTCAACCCTGACCTCTCCACATACTTTCCAGGCTCAGTAAATGGCAACAGCATTCTTCAGCTGTGGAGGCCAAAAAGCCTGGAGTCGTTTTTGACTTTCCTCTTTCTTTCACACTCCCCATTTGATCTAACAGCTATCCTCTTATCTCTACCTGCAACAGATTTTAACCACAATTCAGATTTTAACTACTTCTTAGCACCTCCACTGCTTCCACCTTGATCCAGCTGTCAACATCTCTGTTACATAATAATATATCAAAGGGTGAAAGACAAAATAAACTAAGGTCAGGAGGAAGAAGCGCACCAAAGAGGAAGAAAGGATGCTATGTTTATAGGGAGTGCCAGAGAAGAACTAGTAAGAATGTGATATTTGAGAGAGGCAGCCATATAGATATGGAGAAGACAAGTGTCCCAGGCAGACGACACAGGAAGTTCAAAGTCTTTAAGGAGGAAGCATGCATGGTATGTTCAAGGAACAGCAAGGAGACCAGTGTGGCAGGAGTGGAGTGAGTGAGGAAAACAGGAAGAGCAAAAGTTGGAATTGTAGCAGAAGGTCAGGTCACACAGAGCCTTCTAGGTCATTCTAAAATCTTTGACTTTTACTCCCAGTGAGGTGAGAGGCCCCTGAGGGATTTTGAAGAGACCAGAGACGTGATATAACTCATATATTGAAAAGACCCCTATGACAGCCTTGCTGAAAATAGACTGGAGTGAAATGTGAAGAGCATGGGAAGAGGCCAGGAGACGAATTAGAAGCCTATCCAAATAATGGAGACCAGAGAGGCTGATGGCTGGATGAGGGTGGAAGTGGTGGAGGTGCTAAGAAGTAGTTAAAATCTGAATTGTGGTTAAAATCTGTTGCAGGTAGAGATAAGAGGATAGCTGTTAGATCAAATGGGGAGTGTGAAAGAAAGAGGAAAGTCAAAAACGACTCCAGGCTTTTTGGCCTCCACAGCTGAAGAATGCTGTTGCCATTTACTGAGCCTGG